TTTTCTTTGTGAAGACTGGGAGACTGACTCAGAAAGGGTGAGCCACACACACAGCAGCAGCCAATGGAAGTCATGGACAGATGCAAAGTGCATTCTTAGAATACCCAATCAATTCCAAATGATGTTTCTCTGTTTTGTATAAACAGGGATGATTTGGGCCCATTCCTGTTCCATAGATTTTTGTCCTCAGAAAGACTCGGACGAAAACAAGGACATAAAGGGCAAGCTACTCACATATGTAACATAAAGCAGAGGATGATTAAAAAAACACCGGATGACAAACTCAAAACTGAGAAGAGAACTTGGTAGTCAGTAAGAATCGGCCAACACTAACAACAATTTTTATAACGAAGATATAAGGCAGCCACTAAACTGATTCTGCATTTCATCAGAGCAACGGCCATCTCCACAGTTCTATCTCAGAGCCCAGCCAATGAGTTTCACTTTTTGCCACTTAGTCATTTAACCCATTCAATACAACATTGGTAGTTATTGCATCCCAAGATCCTCCTCAAAGCAGTTTCACATAAAATGTTTTCATGGCACAGACCTCAGAGTCACCTAGCTAGTAAGTCTTGAGTTTGAGGTGAATATGAAGTCTGTGGGGGCAACTTTTCCCACACGCTCCCTCCAACCGCCACGGATAAAAGTAAACAGGACAAGATATGATCTGCTCGAGGAGGAAAGGTGGCCAGTTTCTCAGGGGAAACAAAGGCCAGGAGTGGCCAGTTTCTCTGAGGAAAAAAGGCCTCAAGCCCCTTCCTCCAGAGGCTTTTATTCGGTTGTAATACACAGGTATACAGGGTGGCAAGGATCAAACAGTAGATAGTCTGAGTCAGAGTCTGTCAGGAACAGAGTTTTAGGGTTTCCTGCTCAAACCCTTAACATATGAATGAAAGCACTCTTAGCAGAGCAGATTTCACAGGTTTATCAGGAAGTCTTTGTGATGCCAGATTTTTCCCCAGGACACACTCTAGCAAGGCAAGGAGCTGCACCCCTCCCCATCAGGTATTCAGGCTTAAGGGGATTAAAGCCAGGAAGCACTTCTCCCAGAGAACGTGGGGACTCTGGCTATGTCAAAGCTGAGGGGTGAGAGTCCATTGCTCTTTGTTGCAGCCCCCGAGTCCTTCCATGAAGGCCTCCCAAGTGGTCGTGTCTGGCCTAGGATGCCCCTCCTCTGAGGGGTCTTACTCACCAGGACCTCCGACCAAGCTTTGGGGGCAGGGAGGAAACTGAGGCAGCATTTGCTTTCAGAGACAAGCTTTGTCTCCTGCGGCTCGCATTCCAGAGGTCCTTAGCCACAGCGGGTAGAGTTACAATTCCTAGAACCAGACAGAGCGGTCCACAACAGAAGTCCACTATGCAACAATGAGGTGTACAATGTAAAGTAACCTGATCAAGTAAATCCCATTATACAGTACTGTATTAACATAAATTTACCCTTACTTGAAATGTCTATTTTCTAATGTAATTATTTATAATGGATGATAATAAGGAATTACAGGATTACAAATTCCCTTCCAAAATCACCTAAGATCAAAATGTCTCTGGGTCTCAGGTTCCTTTTTTATAAAATGAGAAGGATGAACCAAATGGTCACAGGATTTAACATACATACTTACAAATTTAACATACTTCCATACTTAAAATAATTAAAATGTCTAGTTAAACTTATAATTAAGTTACAGAGTTTTACAGTTTGACAGTTCCTCTAAAACTAAACACAGAATTACCACATGGCCCAGAAATTCCACTCAGAGCTATGTATGTGAAGGAACTGAAAGAGAGGATTCAGGCAGATGCTTGTACCCCAGTGTTCACTGTGGCATTATTCACAATAGCCACACGCATAAACAACCCAAGTGTCCATCCACAATGAATGGGTCAACAAAATGTGTACGTCCGTACAGTGGAATGTTATTTAGCTGCAAAACAAAATGAAGTTCTAACATATGCTACAACATGGGTGAACCTTCAAAACATTATACCAAGTGAAATAAGCCAACCTAAAATGAGTGAAATAGTAAATTTTACATTACACATATTTTACCCCAATAAAAATTTATGTAACTTAAAATTTTTTGATAGATTAGGAAACTTAGGCAATTTGATCCTAGGCAAGTTTCAATCCCTCCCATTTTAATTACTGTATCTATAAAAAAGAAATAATAAAATCAATTGTCAATTCATAGGAATCTATTGTAGGGCATCTGCAGAGTCCCTGTGAAAAAAAAATAAATCCCATGTATGAGTAAGACTATGTGATCACCTCACAATGCATAAAAGCAGAGATATGCAAGACCACCCACAAAGCACAGTCTGGCTCCAAAGCCTGCTCAACTTGACTGTAACAGATTGAATACATTATCATATCTAATGAAGAAATAAGCCAATCACAAGTAGGGATGAACACTATAAGAACATTAAAAAGTTCCAGTCACAAAGCGAACTATAAGAGTCTTAGCCAGTGATTTTTTACGGGTGCCTCACCTATGGCAAGGCTACTCCTACTGTCAAGATGGATATGGACTGAATGCATGCATATCACTAAGTGAAAGAAGGCAATCAGAGAAGGCTGCGTAGTGTATCCATAATGGTGTACACATACCATTACAAATTTTCTCAAACCCATAGAATGTACAACATCAAAAAACAAAAACAAAAAATGAATGTGGTCAATCAGCTTCCAGCGTTCTAATCCCACTAACAGAAAGACAATTGTAATATCTCTTTCAATATGAGAGTATTTCCTGTTATGATTATCTCATCTCAGAAAAAAGGGAATGGAAGATCACTGAATATATTTTATTGTAAAAGATGCTACTCTGAAGTTATCAGTACTTTTATTACCAACAACTGTTCATCTTTTGAACACTAAACACGGAAAGCACCCCCAGGAAGTGCTTTATAAGTATTAATTCGCCTTAATCCTCGTCCCAACCCCATGGTGCAGGGACTATCATTATCCCCATTTTATAGATGAGAAAAATGAGGTGCAGAAATGAAGGAACTTGCCCAACATCATTCGGCTAGTAAGTAGTCAAGACTGCATTCCCACCCAGGCTCTTAAGCATTGCTCTTTTAATTAAACTGAAACTTTAATATTTATCTACGAGAACCACCTATAGAAAGCTTTAATTCCTGGTACTATCAGAATTTGTGTAATTACAAAAAGGCATTTTAGCTAATAAGTATGTCCCTAAAAGGTAAACAATGAGGAATAAGGCCTAAGAGAAGGAGCAGCGGAGTGGGTGTGGAGGAGGTCGGTGGACACGGGAGAAGAGAAGCATGTGTGGGCAAAGGAATGCTGCAAACAGGCTGAGCTCAGGTTGCTAAGGAGGACTGCTGAGTTTACAGGTCTCACCATTTAAGAAGAAGCCTGAAAGTCTAACTCCTTTGACACTCTCCTTTCAAAAGGTCCAAAATCATGCCACTTGCTACCAACCACATCCATCCACGAGTGAATAGTTAAAATGTCCCTGTTCCAACAGTCATTTATTTTTATAGTGGGGAACACTGTCGTGAAGTGGGAGAATGGTGGGGCAGCTGTTTGACCCCGGTATCTATCGTCTTTGGCTCTCATATCCAATAAATCTTCACCTGATGTTACAATGCTCAATCTAATCAGCCCAGGTAGATGGAATACAGTGGGCCAATATAAACTGCCTATCCTTAATTTCTCTAGTTAGCTCAGAATCCATGGGACAAAATTCATCACACTGTATTTTTATGATGAAACTTAAAATTCACCTGACTTTATTGCTTCTGATCCTATGTTCAACAACATTCTACTTCCTAGCCTCTTATTTGCAACTTCGAGGAATCTACTACAAGAATTTTTTCCTAAATTCCACCTTAATCTGTCAATATTATAAATTTAGTTAAGTGATCCACCTGTGAGAGATGACTCTGCCTTTGGCTTGGGGGAAAAAACAAGCCTATGAGACCGAGTCCGACCTTGGTCCTTGGTAGTAAAAGCCGCGCTGTGACTCCCTGCAGGTGCGTGCTCCCACTCGCACGGTCCTCTTTCTTTTTTCAAGTAAGAATTATATGTCAGGATGTTGCAAAAATTAAATGAAATATAGGTAACTGTGTTTACTAAACTTACTGGCAGGTGATAGATAAATGTCCACCCCCCTCCACCGCCTGCCCATGCTCATCTGCAGGCTTTATTATCCAGATTAAAAAGTCAGTGATCAAAAAACTGCATGGTCATGCCACGTTAGTTTATTTTATATACTCAACAAGACTACACCACTCCTAAAAGGCCAAGGGGAAATAATTTTTTTTCTCTAGTTCTCAGATACAAAGAAACAGACCATTTAGTTCATGAACATGTTAGGGTGCAACAGGAGGAAAGGGCTCCTAAAAAAAGATCTAAGAGAAGCCAAAAAAAGTTAAAAATACAATTCCTATAAACCAAAAGGCAGAATAACTAAAAAAGCTATATAAATTACCCCAAATCCAAAGTCAGAAAGAAAATTGGTCCAAAACATTGTAAATGTCATTCAAATAATACACTCAGCCATCACTATAATTTTAAAGGCAGTACAAAAAGAACTTTTGGTAGTACCAAAAGAACAAATGATAAATATTATATAACAAGCAGTAAAAATGTTTGGGCTGATTAATGTTTTAAGAATGATCTCCATGAGTACAAAAATTCAAAGTAAAACCCATTCTGAGGATCACTTTTCTTTGTAATAGTATTGTTATTATGAAACTATCCGACTTTTGCAGAACCTCTCTCACATGAGCCAAGTTAAAAATACAAAACAACCAATATAAGGAAAGTTCTATTTCCTGCTAGTCTGTATTTTTTTCTGGGTGAGGCTGAGAACATTGAAATTAGGTGTTGCAATTAGTTTTCCCCTCTCTGAGAACTCTTGTGGCTTTGTTGACAGCCCACAGCTGCCTTAATCTTGCATGCAGGTCGGTGGAGAGATGACACATGTAAAACCGCATTGAGCATTGGGATAAAAAGGACAGTGCATACATACCTCGCTCAAATTTTAACCGCTGATAAAGCTGAAACTGATCCACAGGTACCAAACAGGCAATCTGAAATCAGACACATGATGAAGATGAGATTTCAGTCAATACGAGGCCCGAGCCAGCAGCCTTTTTTGATCTCTCCTTGTTTGGCTTACTTCATTGTCTCTATACAAGCTGTTTGCAAACCCCTTTGTCTACCCTGTTCATGCAGTAACACAAGCACCACACCCACCTAGTTCAGCCCCCATCGTCTGCCACAGCCAGGAGTCGTTCAAGGTGCAGTTACAGAATGCACTCATCACCTTCCACTCTTTGAGCAGCAGCTACTAAGACCAGGCAATGAAATCTTTGAACTTCACAAATTATTTGTGGTCATATATGAAAGATGCTTTTTCTCTCTCTTGATTCATTTGAGAAAATTTTTAAGATTATACTTCTAGCTTCAGAACCCTTCCATATTAAGGTCAGGTAGATAGATAGTGCCTCCAAACTGTGAAAACTTCATTCGTTACTTAGGGAATGGCACCTTCTAAGCAAAGTAAAAATCATTATCTTCTGACAAAAATCACTTCACGGGGCCCTTGGTTACCATGCATCATCATCCACATACTGAGAGAAAAGACAGGCCTCCGATGTTTCTGATGGCTAGACTCCCATTCCCACCTTAGATGGCAATGTGATCCCAAAGTTCGTAAACAACAATTCATACCTAACCAAACGACATTTCAGATTGATCATTTTTAAGCTGCATTTTGAAATCAGACGCAGGCAAAGCTAACTGCTCTTAAGCTCGCATTCTAAAAAAATAATAATTCCATTGATTAAATGGACATTGTTTGAAAGATTTGCAACTAGGAAAAATCAAAGAATTTGATATTAGGCTTCCAGACATTCAGCAAGTTGATACAGGACATACCTTGGGAATTCTGACTCATAAAACATTGCATTTTTTTGGAATAAAACATGTCTAGGTGGAATTTTTTGCAATTATAGGAAAGAAGTGTGCTTTGAGAAAACTGGAGTAAAAAAATAACTAAAGCAATTAAAATTGTACTTAACAAATAGAATACATTTTAAAAGGCATTCAAAAATCTAATCCTCCCTCTCACAAAAAAAAAGTATTTTGCAGATGAATTAAGTTTGTTAAATATATGAATAACCACAAAACAGGCAAATTCTGTCTATTTTGAGTGAAGTGTAATAACACAAATTTAATTCAATATAACCTTTCTCTCTAGCTGAGGAGGAAATGGTGCATTTTCATCTGGCACTTTATATAAAACCTCCTTAACAATCACTATAGAAATTATGGTTAATTTTATGTTATGTGTATTTTATCATAATTTTTAAAACTTGATTAGATGTTTATTCTACTGAAAGCCAGTTTTGTTTCATCTGTTATACTACCTGGACCTCTTTCCTACAAGACGAAGGCGCCTCAAATGAAATGCCCTTGGAGACAGAAGGGGCAAGAAGTGAAAGTATGGGAAGCATTAAGGAGTCAGAGTTCAGTTCCTGACTTAGTCATTGATTCATTTCAGGTGGAGGATAAACAATCGAATACTGCTTCAACTTTTGGGTCAAGGTGACTTGGGAGAAAGTATCATCTGGGCCCAACAGACCTTAGTGATATTCTACAAATCAATTTTTAACACCTCCCCCCACCAGAAAAAAAAGCTATTGAAGTTTTATTTTATGGGACAGGTCTGTACTCTTCTTACACCATCTAAAATTGTTTCTGGACAGATGAAGACTTTCTTCAAACCCTCAAAGTCAACCCCTAAAAATTCTGATGTTTTTCAATGACAAGCAACTTATAACAGCTAAGTCAAATACAGTTTATAAAAGACAATGCAAGCCTTGGCTGGTGTGGCTTAGCGGATTGAGCACTGGCCTGCGAACCAAAAGGTCGCCAGCACGATTCAGAGCACATGCCTGGGTTGCAGGCCAGGTCCCTGGTTAGGCGCAGGAGAGAGGCAACCAATCAATGTTTCTCTCACACATCCATATTTCTCTCCCTTTCTTTCTCCCTCCCCTACTCTCTCTCTAAAAAACAGATTAAAGCTTTTTTAAAAAAGACAAAGCAAACAGGAGATAAATAGACACACATGAAATGCTAACATGAGCAATGACAGAGATCGATGCAGTAAAAAGTCAACAGTACAGGTAGACCTTTAAGGTTAAATTTTCATCAGAGGACATATTACTGCCAACAGGAAGGTCAGAGGTCTCTAATATTTTTGCCTTTCCCTCTACTTTGAACCTCCTATTTATTATTTTTAGGTGAAAGGTTTGTGTAGAATTAAGCCTTCATACAGTAAATCAATTTTTCTACTGAAATCTGTCATCGCAATATGTTAGGTCTACCACTTTCCGCCCTGTTTGATACTTCTGGAATAAAGATAAGCCCCTAAATGCACTGTGCTCTTCCCCACCCCCACCACTTAGACCTGCATCCTCTCTAAAGACGTGTTGGCAGCCTATTCATGGGTGCAGCACTGGCTGGACATCTAGGGATACAAATGAGCAAGGGGACACAGAAGCTGCCCTCCAAGAACTAAAATTCCTGGGGAGGTAATACATAGGCATAAGTTAAAAAAAAAAGATCTACTTTATCATGTTATCATTTGTTGGAGTTCACAGATTACAGATAATTTTCTGAAATGTTGCTATTGAAAGCTGAGTTAGATTAAAAAAAAAGATAAATCAAAGTATTAAATTCCCGTTCCACTGCCACTTGGAACTAAGTCACTATTGCTCTAGGTCTTTTGCAATTATAAAACTGGAATAAATGCTTTAGGATGATTACTGAAGGCTCAATCAGGCCACAGGTTAAAGGGCTAGTCCTTAAAGAAAACTGCAAGGAATCAGAAGGGCCTCTAAAATTCATTGTGAAATTAAAATCCTAGAGAATGAGAGATTATATATGAGGTGTCATATGGTATATAATTATCCTCTTCCTGCCAACTAAGGAATTCCAAAGCGTTCAAAATCATACCAGAATGTTCCTTTTTAACTTTTTATTTTGAAATTTGAGACTCACAAAAAGCTGCAACAATTATATGGAGTTCCTAAACGCCTCCCCCCCAACTTCTCCTAATGTTAACATCTTATACATCCACAGTTATTATTAAAATAATGAAATTTTCATTAATACAAAATAATTAGTCAAACTTCGGGCCTTATTCAAATTTCACACGTTGACCCACAAGGACATTCACAAAATGTCCTTCTTTTCACTCCAGATCCACTTTGGGACATGACCTAGCGTTCAGTCTCTTGGTCTCCTTAGCCTTCTCTAACCTGGGGCAGTTCCTCATTCTGCGTTTGTCTTTCATGACCTTGACACGTTTAAAGAGTCAAGTCCAATTATTTCGTACATGCTCTCCAATTTGGGTCTGTTTGATGTTTTCTCATGATTAGGTTGAGACTGTGCATTTCTGGCAAGAACATCACAGAAGTAAAATTGGGCCATCACAAGGTAAATGTCATTTACCTTCTGTCATTACTGGTTAACTTCTAACTTGGTTAAGGTAGTATCTGCCAGGTTGCTCCAGCCTTTGTAATTTTGTAGGGAGATATTTGGAGATTCTGCAGATATCCTGTTTCTAATCATACCTTTGCCCACTAATGTTTGTAGCTACTGAAAATTCTTGCCCACCATAATTATGACTGTGCCATTTGCTTAATAATGATTTTCTATATCCATCTCTATTTGTTCATTAGAATTCTGTTGTAAGGAAGGGCTGTCTTTCCTTCCCCGTTTACTTGCTTACTCAATTCTTTAGATTGATGCAGACTCCTGGCATTTATTGTACTTACTGGGTTCCAATCCATTACTAATCAAATCCATCTTCAAGCAGGAGAAACAAAGATATCTAAGTATCCTCTCTATTATCAAGAGACCACTTCCCTCAATTTAATTACTAAAAAATCTTGAACTTAAAGTTATATTTTGCTATTTTTCCTTTGAAATTTGTGCTAATCTACCTGTTAAACAAAAATTTCTATCTTCTCCCATCCAAGAAAGACCACGTTTCCTCATCATTCCATAAATTATTTCCAAAAAGAGAATTCAAAGAGAAAATTCAGTTTCATTTTAATAAAATAATAGTAGTAATATCAAAATAATAACAACAAAAATTTACTAACTCCCTATCATTACATTTCCTCTTCTGGTAAAAATGAACCTGGGAAAGAGGGGTGTGGGCTGGGTAGAGGTGGCCAAGGAGGAGAAAAACTGGGGACATCTATAATAGGGTCAACAATGAAAATGAAGTCAAAGAATAAACTTGGGGCCCTGGCCAGTGTGCCTCAGTGGCAGCATCACCCCATGGACCAAAAGGTCACAGGTTCAATTCCTGGTCAGGGCACACACCTGGGTTGTGGGTTCAATGCCTGGTTGGGGCACATGTGAGAAGGCAACCAGTCCATGTTTCTCCCTCACACTGATGTTTCTCTCCCTCTCCCTTTCTCCCTCTTTCCTTCTCTATAAAAAGAAAACAAAAACAATAAAAAATGTTCTCAGGTAAGGATAAAAATAAATGAACCTGGAGATACTTATTAAACACCCAGCTAATACTCTGCTGAACATCTCCACTTTCCATTCAACTCTTCTTATAGTGAAACATAACCAGGGAAGTCAGAATGTGAGATCTGTCCGGAAAGTATCCAGCCATGTGCTATGAAAAGGAGATATTTATTGAGGAAGATACAAGAAACACTGTACATAGGACAATGACACCTTGGTCCCCTTCAAAGTAGGCACCTTGGGACCTCACACAGTTCTCCCAGTCACCATCGGCTGCCCTGTCATATTTTCCTGAATCTCATCAATAGTCTGAAATCTCTTCTCTTTCAAAGGTTATTTTACTTTTGGAAAAAGCCAGAAGTTACAGGGCACTAAACCTAAGCTGTAGGGGGTCTGAGTTACCTGGGGATTTAATGTTTTACCAAAAAACTTTGCACGAGGCGTGATGCATAAGTTGGCGTGTTATCATGATGAAGCTGCCAATCACCAGTTGCCCATAGCTGCAGCCTTCTGAATCATCTGAATAGTTTCCAAG